TTTTTTTTTTTTTTTTTTTTTTTTGCTAACCCAATGCCAGACTGCTCTGGCTCGTTGTTGACCATGGACCAACACAGTGAACACAGTGTGTTAGTTGACCAACATAGTATATTTCTGCCAGCACCATTTAGTGCTAGACACTCTGTGAGGACCAAATCCTTGATGCTCAAGTTACTTATATAAAAATGCCATAATATTTGTATATAACCTACACAAGTCCTCCCATACCCCTAAATCATCTTTAGCTTGCTTATAATATGCAATACAATATGAATGCTATGTAAATAGACCATACTATTTAGGGAATTAAAGCAAGAAAAAAGTTCATACATGTTCAGTACAGATGCAACTTTTGTTTTGAAGTTTTTCAATCCAAGATGGGCTAAATGAATGGATACAGAGCCCACAGGTATGGAGGGCTGACTATGCACTAAATATATAATGTTATGTATCTATTTGTTCATTTATTTTAAAATTAATTATAATTTATTATAATTTACAAAGGGTTAGGGCCACAAAAAATTGTAGATTAAAAAAGTTCTTTTCAGATAGTCTGAGAAGCATTTCTCCACTAGGTAAAGACAGCTGGTTAAGATATCTAGGTAGGGGTTTTCAGACTGGGCTTTGTGATCCTTTAGTAAATCATCAAAACAATTTGGTGAGCCTGTCCAGAATCCAAAAGCATTAATGATATAGAAAAGGAGATAGAGTCCATTGCACATGTTATTTAATGAACTGTCTTCTGGAGTTACATATGCAAACATATACTGCGGTGTGATGTAAAATTTGTTTCTTAACATGAGTCATTGTCAAAACAATGTGAAAGTCACTGCACCAACCCAAAGATGAGCTAGTGTTCTCAAGGGCATTAATGCACATCTGAGAAACAAATGTATAGTTTTCATTTTCATCTGTTGCTAAATTCAAATGAATCATTTTATGGATGCAACCATAACTAATTAGAAATGTTTTTAATGAAGTTTTTCTGAACAGAGTCTCCCATATGGTCTCACAATGTGGACTGTTCTTGTGGTCACTGCTAACAGACTTAGTGCTCCATGCCGGCAGAGAGAAATCTTTTTCACAAACAGTTTTGGTTCTGTATTTGTCAGCTATCTCTACGTGAATGTCTAATTGTCATCTCAAGCTTACGTGGACAAAATCAGGTCTCAAGTTTAATCCCCAACCCACTCTCCAGTGGTGGCCCACCACCACCAAGTTGCTCAGATTCCAATCCTAGAGTTTGTGTTTGATCCCCCTCAGTCTTACTCTTTTCACATCTTATTTCATGACAAATGCTGTAGGCTCCAACTTCATAATATATTGTAAATTGGACAGCTTTCCCCTGCTTTCCTGGTACCTCCCTGATTCTGGGCAACTGTAACAGTGTCTTAACTGATTTCTCTACCTCTTTTCTCATCTTCCTAGTATTTGTTCTATATGTGGTTGCCAGAATGAGCATTTAAAACACAAATTAGATAACTTCACTCTCCTGTTTTATATCTTTCACTTGTTTCACATTATATTAAAAATAATGTCTATACTCCTGAAGTGAGGCACACAACTGTACAAAAATCTGCTTTTGTTAGTCAAAATAAATATCATAATACTCTTACTAATATTAATAAATGGAAATAAAGTGTTTGTATACTGGGAGGGGAGGAGGGGGTGAAGGGAGGGCAAGGACAAGGGGAAAAATGAGAACCAAGACCTGTCATGTAAGGTACAGGATCCCAATGATGAATGTAACTGTACTGTAAACCTAAAATGTACCAATAAACTCAATTAAAAAAAGAAAAAAAATAGTGTATTAATAGTATTAATATCCTCACTAGTATCATAGCCACAATGAACTTTTCTCTTTACCTCATATATACCAAACCTATTTATGCATTAGGATATTTTCATTTCTTGTGTGATCTGTATGAGACTATTCTTCACCTATCTCTCAGCTCAAAAGTTATCTAAACTATTTCTTCAGTCCCTATTTTTTTTCCCCAGTTTTAATTGAGTTTATTGGTACATTTTAGGGATACAGTACAGTTACATTCATTGTTGGGATCTTGTACCTCTACATGACAAGTCTTGATTCTCATTTTTTCCCCTTACCTCTGCCCTCCCTTCACCCCTTCCTCCCCTCCCCATCTACAAACACTTTATTTTCATCTATTTTTTGCATCACTCATAGCTAATTATTTTTCAAAGGAAATTAAGCATGGAGTACCATTTAATTTTTCCAAATATAGGCTCTCATTAAGAATCTTAGCTATCACAGCAGCCATTTTCAGAATGATGAATTTGTTACTCACTTCTTTTTAAAATTTCTACTATAAGAAGAAGAAAATTGTTAGCAAATCAAGGGAAGAAGAAGACTTCTAAATTGAAGGTCAGGTCATAACAAAGTGACTTTCCAGTGAGCAGACAATTTACCATCAGAACATGCCTGAGCCAAACTGAGCGAAGGTCAGAAATGCCATGGCTTCCAGGGGGCAGAGTGAGCATTGAATGCCTGGAGGCAGCAAAATGTAGTTGATAAGAGCAGACTCTGGAGCCAAGGTGTTTAGGATACCGATGCTGGCTTTACCACTGACTAGCTGAGAGAACTTGGTGAGTCCTACCCTCACTGTGACTCTGTATCCCTTATCTATAAAATGAGGAAATGATTGTGAGGATCAAATCAAAGGGGTGGGAGGAGATACAGGGAGGGAAAGAGACAGGGATAGGAATATTGCTTTATAACAAGTGAATGGCCGCTTTAAAAAAAGTAGAAAGAGCAATAGAAAAATAATTTGTTAGCTTCCAGGGTGAAAATTGATTTGAGCAAAGATTATTAGTGGATACTGAACCACTTGGTAAAATATAAGGAATCTATATATTGTCATGGATTAAAGTATTAACGCACAGTTTCCTACTACCAATGGAAAGATCCAACTGTCAAGTTTTTAACCAAGTTTTCAGTATTAGCAAAGAGATAACCTGACATTATGTAACTCCATATGACACAATAAGAAGTGCACAATTCTTATCATTCATGTAGTAGGATTCTATATTTAAAAAAAAAAAAACAGCTATCCTCTGCATAACACAAGGAAACAGGAAATTTTACTAAGCAAATGGCCCAGACTACAGAATAAGACAAGACACACTGCTATGCCAACACAGTATATGGAGTTGACTACTCTACGTTGAAAGAATAAGGAGATAAAACAATTAAATGAAGCACATGAAACTGGCTTTTAAAAATCAGATACTGACTTTTAAAAATCATTTTGGGAAAAATTAGAAATTTGAAAAGAGCATTTATAGGTGTTATTTAGGTATTAAAGTTATCTTTATTTAACAGAATGTTCCTATTCTTCAGCGATGCTTATTAAATACTTAGCAATACAGTGCTACAATATCTGTAAATTTATTTCCAAAGGTTCATAAAAATGTACAAATATGTGTGTCTGTAAATACGTGTGATGCGACACATATTTTAAAAGGTTAAATATTATAATTAACTGATGCATATGTGGGTGTCACTGTGTTAATCTTTCAAATTTCCTTTATGTTTGGAAAACATTTTAATTTAAAGCAAAATGCAGTGAAAACAAATTAGAAGTAGCTTCTTACCTGTTACATTCTGTGCTCCTGCCAGCCTGGCCCTTATTAAGCCATGTCTCTCTTTAAGCCGAAGAATCCGAACTTTTGGAAACTGAGACATATATCTGTCCAAATTATCTTTTAAGTAATCTATGTCAGAGTAAGGATAGACAAAGAAACACTTTAGTTAACTAGGTCTGTCTCAGAAGTGTTTCTATAATGTGAAATTCCAAAAACTATGATATTGCTGCAGTTCATTACATTTTATTCCTTTGTCTATAATTTCATTACTTGATCATTTTCTTAGAAGTGTTTTATCTGGGTTCAGTATTCTAAGCCCCCTGATTTCTGTGATCATAGGAGAGAGGCTAAGCAATGAGTGCACATGGGAAACTTTGGGAAAGAAGCTGATACAGCTGGAGTCAGTTAAGATCACTGTTGTTCCCTGCTCTGACATCCTCTCAGTCAGACTTTTCTTCTCTTTTTAAATAGTTGTAGAGCAATCCTGCTAAAGGAGCATTTTGGGGAGTTAAGGATGTATTTATATGGCTTGCGGTCACTTCTGGGTATAATGAAGCTATTAACATTTCTTCCAAGTAGGAATGGCTTCCAGGAATATTTTGTGGCTACTCTCCTACTAATTTTATGTTATATTTTTTAAAAAGACCCTGAAAATTATATAAGTTTCAAGTCCCACAAGATATGGATCTGCCCTCATAAAGAGATTTTTTTTCTGATTAGTAATGGTATACTCTGTTTATGCTTTCAAAGCCACATGTTAGAGTTTTCAGTTAGTTTTCCTCTGGCATTCTAAAGCTTCTTGAGCTCAGTACGATTATGGTAGGAACTTTGAGGCTAAAGAAACCACTTGGATCACCATTTCACATATAAAGGCTAAGCTGCTCTAGTAATGCTGCCATCCCTTGCTATTTTCTAAAATTAAATGCAATGGATTACATTTTGGGAATATGTAATATGGTTGTCACTAGACCTGGAAGATCACCTATATATGCAAATTATTTGGCAACCTAAATAATGAGATTCTTCATTGTAGTGAACAGAAATCAACCTAAAGATCATAGTGGACTCTGCTTTTGAACTGTTTTGAAACCATACCTCTCTGGTCCCTTTAGAAATTTGTCTTCTCACTTAACTAAACAATCAGCCTTGCTGTTGAGGGAGAAGCTATAGGATTTCCATTTTTTCAGCTTTCCTTGGAGTTTAAATCTAGTTATTAAAGCTGGAAAAGCATTATATTAATTTTGAGGCATTTACTTATTAGGTTCCATGAAAAATGTTTATGGAATTGTAGGGAATATGTTCTGGACTCGGGTACCTCAAAAGGCCCATCTGCAAGGAGCTTTCATAAAAATCACTCCTACGTGGCAAGAAAGTGACAGCTAAGTGGAAGCTGAAGACAGCTAGTTGGATAAGGCTTCAGATGACTTTTAATATCCTATAGATAATTAAACTCATGTCTGTAAGGTTCCATCTAAAAATGTTTATGCCTCATCAAATTAACACACACTTTTGCCTTCCAAGCTACAATTGTCTTCTACCAAACTTTGACTTTTAGTAGAAAGCCTGAGTGATTTTCTTACCTTTGGTGCTGAAGTCATCTACTAGCAGAATCTCCTTGATGAGGTGTGGGGGAGAGCGATTGAGAACACTGTGAACAGACCTCAGGAGAGTGGACCACACCTCATCCACAAAGCACATGATGATACTGGTGGTGGGAAGCTCATTGTGAACTAGCTGCTGTGCACACCTGGGCCAAAATGTAAGTAGAGCACAAGGGATGTGCCAATGAGATCCACAGCATGGTCTGGAAAGTCACACAGTGTCACTGTGTTTACACACACGAGTGCGCACACACGCGCACACACACACTCTCTCTCATCTACTTACTTGTTGTTTTCGCTCCCCCACTCCCCGTCATAACCTGAATTGGAAATTCTATAAAGAACTAGGCTAGACAAAAGAGCTTCTGCTGGAGATATGATACTGCCGTTTAGGGATAGGGGCTTCAAAGATGACCAGACTCCATTTCAATCCAAGCAGATTTCCCAGATCTTTATTTTTTATTTTTAAAAATATTTTATTTATTTAATTAATTATTTATTTAGCAGTACAGGGGATTGAACTCAGGACCTTGTGCTTACAAGGCAGGGGCCACACCACTGAGCTAAATTCCTGGTACCAAAACAACAACAACAACAACAACAACAACTACAACAAAAATGTCCTCTCAGATCTTTACCCACTCACACTTTCCTTAATTCCTCTGTGCCTCCGTTCTTCATCTATAATATGAAATAATGGTTCAGTTTTGCAGCTACTGAGAACCCATGTAAAAGATCCAGCATAGTTTCTGACACAGGAATTCACTAAATGGTAGGTGTTGTTGTTGCTATTAAATAAGCAAAAGAAAACATACTAGGTTATTTAATATTGCAGAGCAGTTGATGGTTGCCCTCATAACTGGCCACTGATGTGTGCCAGAAGACACGTCTTTTCTTCTTCTCTGCGTGTGGATGTGTGTGTGGCACACTGTAGATGGGCCAAGTAATTAAACACTCTGCAGCTTCCCTGCCCATGTGAGGGCTCCTTGTAGAGACCGAGCTGCACAGTAGCCATAGCTGAAGTCATTTTGCTGACAGAGAAATGAGAGCAAAGCTAGTGGGAGTCGGAATCCAGGTGGGTTGAAATTGGTCTTGGATTTTCCCATGCTCCACAGTTCATACTACCTCACAGTGGGCTTCCTCTCTCTCTCTCTCTCTCTCTCTCTCTCTCTCTCTCTCTCTCTCTGTCTCTCTGTCACACCTGTGCTACCCTCCCCAAGGCAGGGCCCAGTAGAACCCCACAGAGCATGCCTTGTCCAGCTAACACAGGATAATGAGAAAAAAACAGAATAAGCATTCTGCCTTATTTTGATTTAAGTGAAGAGAGTAGTTCACGATTATACTTGTAATAAATGGCAGAGCTGGGACTGAAACTATATCTACACTGGCTCCGGAAGTAGCCACTCAGGAAGTCTTAAATTCACAAGAAGAAAAACAGCAAAAGTGGATGTGGCATTTGTGAGCTCTGAGCTTTTGTCAAATATCATGGCATATTTTGTTTACTCAAAATTAAGACATAGGCAAGAGTTAAAACGGTAGTAAAACAAGTCATACGTGTGAGACACTTTATGTGCGGTTGGCAAAGTACTGCTGTGTAAATAAGTTAATTCAATATTCATAACAATTGCTTGAGGTACATATTAACATACACTTTCTCAACTAGAGCAAAGCAGTGTGAGCAGTTCAATGACTTATCCAACATCCTTTACCTAGAGAGAAGATATATGGGAACGGGAATCAGTTCAGTTTTTATTCCATTGTTCTTCCTGCTGTTCTGATTATGAGTTTTGAAATCAGATAAATATTTAGGCAAATTTCTGTTCTCTCTTATTAGTATCACAATCTTCGAAGTTTTTCCAGTGTCTATTATCTCATACTCAATTCTGTCTTTTGTCACATAAGATGATATTCACTCTTTTGCTACATAAGGTAAGAGTAACTGGTTCTAGAAATTAGAAAGTAAATATATCTTTGGAGGTACATTTCTACCAGTTTTCCTCAAGGATTTACCAAGTTAAAGTGTGAAATATACTTTTTTGAAAGAGGACATACATATTATTTCTTTGAAGTTGTGGGCACCCTCCCCTGTCATTCAGTCAAAGGTAGATTTACTTAGAATTTATAGAACTGTCTGTCACTTTTTCTCTTTTCTTTCCTTTTCTTTCTAATTTCTTTTTACATTTTGGAGTTTCTTTGGAGTTGATCAGTTTATACACTGAAATTCATGAAAGTGTTTATTGGTAATATCAAATTTTGACACAATGTTGACACTCAAATTTAGAAAAGAAAAATAAATAGATAAAGAGTATAAATATAAAGATTGCTGAGTTGGGGCTGGGGATTTCGCTCAGTGGTTCCACTGTCTGTCTTGCAAGCACAATACCCCAAATTGGATCCCGGGTACCAAAAAAAAAAAAAAAAAAAAACCAAAAAAAAAAAAAACCAAAAAAAAAAAAAACCAAAAAAAAAAAAAACCAAAAAAAAAAAAAACCAAAAAAAAAAAAAAAAAAAAAAACCAAAAACAAAAACAAACAAAAAACAAAAACAAAAAGATTGCTAAGTAACATGGAAATAATGTATTTTGGTTGCATGACTGTCAATGTTTGAAAGACAATTTTGAAAATAAGCATTAACTCTTAAATTTCTTTTATCAACCAAAATATCTCTAATATTAGAGTCCAATTCTCAGGTTCTTTGGTGGTGAATATCAAAGACCAGATGGAGACTAATGTTCCCCAGGAGGGAGTGGATGGCACTCAAGAAGGAGCCAAAGGTAGGTGTAGAAATGGAGAGTACTTTGTACATTGTTTTAGGAGAAAATCAAGAAAGGAAGGACATTGACGGGAAGATAGGTGAAATCGAGGGCAAACTTGTCATCCCTGTCCCTTCTTTCTCTGGATTAGAAAGGCATAGAATAACATTTCTGAGCTTCAGGGAGAAAGCAAATAGAAATGAAAGACAAAAAGAAAACGACAAGGTTATTAACAGAGCAAGATCTATGTCCACGGATTCACATTACAGTGGCAGTCGATACAACTGAGTTTAGTCATTTTCTGTTTTTCTCAGGTTGCACAAGACATTACACTTTCTTGGCTATTGTCACCATTCACTCCTTTCCCCCTTTTAATCTCATAGTTTGTACCTATTCTTTTTCTCTAAACAAGATTCTCAGGTCTGGATCCTGGGTTTTATTTTCTTCTAAGTTGTATTTTACTATAGGATCCCATCCATGCTTCTAGTTTTAAGTGTGATAGTGTCTTTCTAATCTATATCAAGCGAGATTTCTCCTGGAATTATTTTCATTGATTCAACAAACTACTGCCATTTACTCTGCATGTGTCATGGGCATCTTAAAGCAACAGAAGCAGCAATTTTGATTTTACCTTACCCACCTCAACCAATTCTTCAGCAATTCCCCACTTAATTAATGCAATTATCACCCACCTTGTTGCAGCAATAGAGGTGCCATTCTAGATTTCATCCTCTGCTTGATGCTAAGTAAAATCAGCTTATTATTTTCTGTCCACTATATTGCCAGCATACACCTTAACTCCAACTTTACACTTTTATGTTCCCACCCAAATTTGAGATGTTACCTTCTTTGTCCAGGATTATTATTTTTTTTCCATGAGTACCAGGGATCAAACTCAGGACCTTGCACCTGCCAGGCAGGTGTGGACTACTGAACTACATCACCGGTCCCTGTCCAAAATTATGGTTACAGTTTCCTGACAGAGCTGCATTTTCACTCTTTGCAGCGTTTACCCCATTCTCCTGCTTTAAATCTTTCAGTCAATCTGTGACCCTTAATCAAGCTCTGTTAACTTGGCTGGATTAAGGAATGTCCACGGGCTTAAGTAAAGCAAGGTTCTGGTTGTGTTTGGGTGGGTCTTGGACACGTGACCTTGGGCCCTGAATATAGTTTCTGGCCAGTTTTCTGTCTGGCATTATTCCCCTCCTCTGCTTTCTGGTCACCATGAACTAAGAGGCTTTGTTATACCACATCCTTCTGCCATGATATTCCTGCCTTGGAACATAGCCATAGCCAGATAACTATGGATTGAATCCTCTGAAACTCCGAGCCAAGATAAACCTCTCCTTCTTTAAATTTTGGATATCAGGTAATTTGTCCCAGCAATAGAAGAGCTGACTACAGTCCCTCCTGGCTGAAGTAAAAAAAGTCAAACTTTTCACTATACTGTAAAATTCCCCTGCACACCTATTTTCCAACTAGCTGTCATTTCACTACCCACTTACACACTTCATCTTGCTTTCTTTTGCCGTTTTCTTAATTTTAAGCATTTTTGTACCATTCCCATTCCTTTATTGCTTGCTTCCTTTGTCTATTTAGGCATTAGTTTGTATACTGTCACCACAGAAAACTTTCTTTGGTTAATTTAGAAAAATTTATCTGTTCTTGTATTATTCTCCATTCCAGTCACCACATTTCTGCCATAGTATTTATTTATAAGTTTTATTTTCTTATCTTCTGCATCCAGAATTTTGTAGTTGTAGGTTAAATCTACCTTTTATTCCCCTGTAGTATGAAAAGCTCAATTGCAAATAAATATTTGATAAATATATATTGAGTAGATGGATGATGGATATAGATAGAATAGAACTTAAATTTAAAACTTAAACAGTGAAAGAAGAGCTATTTCCCTTTGAGATAGGAAGAAAGAAGGTGATGATATATACAGATAAGTTCATGTATATGGGATGAGATGCTAAAAAAGACTCTTTGTAACTCATACCTGAGAAAGATTCTTTGCTAATGTGATAGCATAGGGGTTGAGGAGGATGGAGAATATGGAGAAAGTCAGTACGGCAATGGGCGAGTGCTAGCCAGTTACACATAAAAGGATTTAGGAGGGGAACTGAGCACTTTCCTCAAGTTGGAGATGGCAACTTTTAAAAGAAAAATATACATGTATTTGTTCCACTAGTGCTAGGAACCTGGAAGTAGGAGGTGAGAAAGCAGATCTTGGATTAATCCAACAAAGTGCACCATAGCAATGAGGCACAAGGACAAGGTTGGTAAAGATTTGGAAGATAAAGGGGGATAATGTTCCATCACAAGCAGGGATGGGAAAAAGGGGAAGTAAATTTTTAAGAGGAATTTAGCCGCCTGAATGAAGGAAGCAAA